CTTCCTAGATATAGATGTTTATTGCTATAAACTTCACTCAGCACTGTTTTGGCTGTATTCCATGGGTTTTGGTATGTTATGCTTTGACTTTCCATTGTTTCAAAAAAATTTTTGATTTCCTCTTTAATTTCATCCCTGACCTAATGATCATTCAGGAGCATATTTAGATTTCCTGGATTTTTAGTTTCTGAAGTTCCTCCTGTCATTGATTTCTAGTTTTATTCTGTAATGGATACCTGACATTTCAATTTTTCAAAAATTGTTGAGACTTGTTTTCTGTCCTAACATATCCATCCTGGAGAATGTTCCATGTGATGATGAGAAGAAAGTATATTCTGTAGCTGTTGGACGATATGTTCTGTAAACATCTCTTAAGTCTATTTGGTCTAAAGTGCAGTTTAAATATAATGTTTCTTGGTTAATCGTCTATGTAGATGATCTCTCTAATGTTGGAGTATCCAGCTCTCACTGTATTGATGCCTATCTCTCCTTGTAGATGTAATGAGATCTGCTTTATATGTCAGGTGCTCCAGTGTTGGGTCCATATGTGTTTAGGACCATACACTCTAGCTGAATTCATCCCTTTATCATTATATAATAACCTAGTTTCTTTGTACTGTTTTTGACTTAAAATCTGCTTTATCTGATATAAGCATAGCTAGTGCTGCTTGCTTTTTATTTCCTTGTGCATGGAATATGTTTTTCCATCCCTTTACTTTCAGTCTGTATGTCTTTACAGGTGAGATGAGTTTCTTGTAGGCAGCATGTATGTGGATCAGGTTTTTTTTTTTTCTTTTTTTTTTCTGGTTCATGTTCTCTCATGAGGTTGCAAGGTTTCTTTCTTTAAATCTGTTTAGGCAGTCTCTATCTTCTAAGGGGAAAGTGTAATCCATTTACATTCAAGGTTGTCATTGATATGTGAGGGCTTATTCTTATCATTTTGTTAATTTATTTCTGATTGTCTTGTATATCCTTTGTTCCTTTCTTTCTCTCTTACTGTTTGTCATTATGGTTTGGTGGTTTTCTGTGTTTGCTTTACCAGTGAGTTTTATACTTTAGCATGTTTCCATGATGGTAGATTTCATCCTTTTAGTTCAATGCATAGGACTCCTTTAAGTATTTCTTTTTTTCTTTTCCCCATTTATTTATTTTATTGCATTTTAGGTTTTGGGGTACATGTGAAGAACATGCAAGATTGTTGCATAGGTACACACATGGCAGTGTGATTTGCTGCCTTCCTCTCCATCACCTACGCTTGGCATCTCTCCCCTTGCTATCTCTCGAGAACTCCTTTAAGTATTTCTTATAGGACTGGTCTAGAGGTGATGAATTTCCTTAGCTTTTACTTGTCTGGGAGTCTTGATTTCTCTTTCATTTATGAAGAACAATTTTGCTGAGTATACAATCTTTTGCTGGCTTTTTTTTTTCTTTCAGCACTTTGAATATATCACCCCATTCTTTCCTGGCATGTAAGATTTCTGCAGAGAATATGCTTAGTCTGATGAGGGTTCCCTTATAAGTGAATAGACACTTTTGTCTTTTTTTTTTTTTTTTTTAATCATTTCATCTTGGATTCATAATAAAATTGTCTTGCTGTTTTTAGAATTCTCTCTTTGCCTTTTGACTTCTGACAGTTTGACAATAATGTGCCATGAAGAAGACTTTTTTGAATTTAATCTGTCTGGGAATCGCTAAGCTTCCTGTATATGGATGTCTAAATCTCGTTAGACTTGGGGAAGTTTTCAGCTATTATTTCATTAAATAGGTTTTCTATCCCTTTTGTCCTCTCTTTGCCTTCTGGGACACTGAACATTTTTAAAAAGGTGGTCATGGTGGCTGATGCCTGTAATCCCAGCACTTCGGGAGGCCAAGGCAGGCAGATCACTTTGCGACCACGCTGGCCAACATGGTAAACCCTGTCTCTATCAAAAATACAAAAAATTACCCAGGCATGGTGCCTGTAGGCCAAGAAGCTGAGGCACAAGAATTGCTTGAACCCAGGAAGCACAGGTTTCAGTGAGCTGAAATTGCATCACTGCACTCCAGCCTGGGTGATAGAGATTCCACCTCAGAAAAAAAAGAAAATTACAAGAAAAATTGGCCACTTACGGAGTCCCGTACATTATGTAGGGGAAGATGTAGCCTGGCTGAGCAGGCCTGTACTCAGAACTCCTAGTGGTGGATGCAGGTGCTGGCTGTGGTTGGCAGGGTCAGGGTAATCCCCAGTTTCCTGGAAAAATGTTCAGGTTGGAACAGCAGTAGCTGTGCTGTTCTTAGGGAGGGTGATGTAGCTTTTAGTGGCAGCAGCCATAAACAGGAGGTTGGGAAATGAACACTTTAGCCCTAGTCACAGCTATAAGCAGGGTAGCCTTTCCTAAGGGTACGTTTAATTGTGCAGTGCTCCTGCTACTGAAGGCAGTGGGGTTGCTTGCCGCCAGTGGCTCACACTTCAGCTCTAGTGGCAGCAGACCAGAGCAGCCCAACTGAGTCTGGGGGAAGTCAATGGGGCTCCAGAGATGTGGAGATACAGGGGCTGTTGGGTGTCATGGCAGGATGCAGTCTTCTTGGGGCTGGGCTCTCAACATGGTGTCTTGTGTGGGACCTGGCATGTGCTCCCTTTCTGGTGCAATGCCATCGCATGGTCTCTAGGCAGCTCCCTATGTTTGTCTCAGGGCCTGCATGGGTCACAAGGGCTCTTCTGTGGATAGGACTGAAAAATCCATGGTGGGAATATAAACTGCTAGAAGTCACTCACTTAGCCTTTCCCCACACTGGGTAGCCTCTCCAGGATCCTAACTGATCCCTGTCAAGCAGGCTGCCTCGCTTCCTTTCCTTCCTCACCTTAGGTGTTTCCTGTCACTTCTCTGTTGAATTCCAGCATTCTCTCTAAGGTAATCTATTTGAAGTGAGAATATTGTCTCACTATTTTGGTTCTTTTTTGTTGACGAGGCAAGTACCCAATACCTCTAGTCAGACATCATGGCTAAATTTTGTCTGTCAGTTCTTACGCTTTCTACATTTTCTCAATTTTATAATCAAACCAAGCCAAAGTTTCAAAGTTAGAAAAGGTGTTAATTCTAAGCAGTGGGATTAGGACTAGTTTTTAGAATTAGAAAAAACGTACATAGAATTTTAAGAATTAAACAGAAGAAAAAAAGAAAAAGACCACCTCAAGAATAATGTAGTACTTCAAATTTCTTATATTTGTTATTTACAGAAGCATCAAGATAGAAGGTAAATAGACATAAAGAAGAGAAATAGTGAGAAAGAGGCCTTAAAATAAGTGGAACATGTGGAGTAAATGGAAAGAAACATGTTTATCACAGATAGTTTCAAACAGGGTAAACAGGAAAAGTTTATATAACTTAGAGATCCAAATTGGACACAAAATGTAAAGGACAATTAAAAAAAGATAAGCATGTAGAAGCTTCCTTTCAGTCGCAAAGTGTTGAAGATACACCTATCATCAAGGAGTAGTCACAGACAAACTTCAAACCTTGTCTGTTTCTTAACTATTTCCTTTAAAAATAAATAAATAAATTTAGGCGGGATGCAGTGGCTCACGCCTGTATTCCCAGCACTTTGAGAGGCTGAGGTGAGCAGATCACTAGGTCAGGAGTTCGAGACCAGCCTGACCAACATGGTGAAATCTTGTCTCTACTGAAAATACAAAAACTAGCCAGGCGTGGTGGCTCATGCCAGTAATCCTAGCCAATAGGGAAGCTGAGGTGGGAGAATCGTTGAACCAGAGAGTCGGAAGTTGCAGTGAGCTGAGATTGTGCCACTGCACTCCAGCCCGGGCGACAGAGTGAGACTCCATCTTAAAAAGATAAAAATAAATAAAATAAAACAAAAATTTATAGGTTCCAGGTCATGTTATGAGTCTCCTTCAACTCATTTTTTTCAAATCCCTATTGTAATTCAGACTATAAAAATATAATTGAAATATATATTATATACCAGAAGCTATTAATATCTTCTTTAAATCTCTTCTCATCAATTCTTCAATACCTGTTTTAGTTCCCCCATTTTTGGGCAATGATAATATTTTCTCTATCACCAGGATTTCTGGGATCCATAAAAACCAGTAGGGTGTATCTGTATCCAAGAATGAAGCAGAAGTTTGTGTTGGACATAATAAGGTATTATTGACAGAGGCAGACAAATGCCTATGCAGATGGGGTGGGTCCCCAGTAAAACCCCACCTCCAAGGCAAAGACAGTTTAAAGCCTGAAAGCCAAGCTACAAGTTAAATCCTTGGACCAGACTGAGAACTTGCCTTTCTGTTTGCACACTTTCCTCTGATTGTTCTCTGCCCTTTACCTATTTTATATATACGTACCCTTTCCTACTTGTTTTCTCCACACTGTTGTGCCCACCTTTGAGTGGTGCCTTCACTTTAACCTTTTTTGCATATTCACAAACCAGTCAGCACACACTCCCATTCTGAGTCCATAAAGGGCCCCAAACCCAGCCACATGGGGTAACCATCCCCCAACCCTGCATCCCCTCTCTACTGAAAGCAGTTTTCATTGCTCATTAAACTTCTTCCCTGCCTTCCTCACCCTCCAGTGTCCACCATATCCTCATTCTTCTTGGGCGCAGTACAAGAGCTTGGGAACTGCCGAACATGGGTACGAGCTATAACACAGGCAAGCTGGGGCACACCAGCATGGCTGAGCAAGGCCCGGCCGGGTGTTGCTAGCTGAGGGTCCCTGGCTTGCAAAGCAACCAAAAAGAAAAATCCTGCATCATTATCTCCTTATCTGAAAAACCCCATCTTCTGATCACCAACCAGCCTGATGGAATCAAGAACAGCTGCATTTACACCGTTCTAAAATGTTTACTGACTGCTTTCTGTCTTAGCTCCCATAGAGAAGTTCAGATCCCAAATAACAGGTGACAGAGATTCTGGTTTAAAGTGAGACAAACATTGGACTAAGGCATAGAGTAGGTTCCACATCAATTCTTCCTGATGGCTGTGAAATGTATTTACTTACCCAATTCTCTTCTATTATTCCAATGCTATATTTATCATCCTTGCCTGGGTCAATTTGTTGCTTTTTCTCAGCATAAAATTCCTGGAGAGCTGCTAAGGCGTGGGCAGAAAGCTGTGGTGTCTCATCATCTTCCAAATCACTCATTTCACAAGTTGTTTATAACCTGCAGATCAAGGAATACATGTTCTGTGCAGATTGTTTCCCTTCCCATCCAGTAATAATTTAATTTTTTTTTTTTATTTAACAGCAAGGATCCAAACTGAAGTGAGTTTCATACAAGTGTAAACCAAAAATAAAATTCTAAGGCCCCCAGCTGACTGAATAAATCCCTCTTCTGGGCCCAAGTAAACCTGAAAAACCAGTTCTGTCCACCATGGGAAGGACATGGCTCATTATACTCTTCTTTCTTTGGAATTCAGGCACAACTGATCAGTATAAACATTAAAACAGAGATCTTAAGAGTGACAAAACAGACTCTTTGTAGCAATAAGATAACAAATTCCAACCTGTTTCTTATAGTACACATGACAGATAACAGGCCCTGACAGAAGTTGAAGATTTTAGCCCAAAATATATTTTTGACCTATTTTGAAATGGCGCTGCAAAGCTGTCTCCTGTGGGGAATATCTACAACTACAGAGAATCCACTTTCCTTTCCAGGTCTTTTCCTGATCCAGGAGAGATTAATTAAGAGTCTGTCATCTTTTTTGATCTGATAGAAGCATGTAGCATCTAGTCTCTCTGAAGCCTGCTACCTGCAGGCTTCATCTACATAATAATAATAACCTTGGTCCTTAAAACCCCTTATCTTAATCCAGATCCTCCTTTCCATTGATTCCAAGATAGTAACTTAACTCTTTCAACCAACTGCCAATCAAAACAAATTTTTTTTTTTTTTGTTGAGATGGAGTGTCGCTCTTGTTACCCAGGCTGGAGTGCAATGGCGCGATCTCGGCTCACCGCAACCTCCGCCCCCTGGGTTCAAGCAATTCTCCTGCCTCAGCCTCCTAAGTAGCTGGGATTACAGGCACGCGCCACCATGCCTAGCTAATGTTTTGTAGTTTTAGTTGAGACGGGGTTTCACCATGTTGACCAGGATGGTCTCGATCTCTTGACCTCGTGATCCACCCACCTTGGCCTCCCAAAGTGCTGGGATTACAAGCGTGAGCCACCGCGCCCGGCCCAAAACAAATTTTTAATCTAACTATGAGCAGGAAGCCCTCCACTTCCAGTTATCCTACCTTTCTGGACCATACATGTATGTACCTTACACGTACTGTCTTATGTCTCCCTAAAACGTATAAAGCCAATTTCTTCCAAATAGTTTTATTTATATATACATCAAACAAATTATGGCATATAAATCATATATCAGTATTTTAGCTAGTTTATATATCCTCAGTATGAGAAACAGATGGTCAACATAAGAGTAAACAATGCTACCCAAAGCAATCAGATTCGATGCAATTCCTAACAAATTACAAATACCATTTCTCATAGAATTTTAAAAAAAATTATAAAATTCATATGGAACAAAAAAAGAGAATGAATAGACAAAGCAATCCTAAGCAAAAAAGAACAAAGCCAAAAGCATCCCATTACCTGACTTCAAACTGTACCACAAGGCTATATTAGATACAGTGAGTTCTACATTTCTCTTCAAAGAATTAGAATGTCAGTATGTTCAGTTATTTCTCCACCATTTTAAAGTTCTTCCTTTAAACGACTTCCTTGTAGTTTCAGTAAACAACCTTCTCCACCAGTTCTAATCAGTAGTTCACATCTTTCCCCCGGCCCCCAGCTCTATCCTGACTCATGCTGGTCACCTGCTTTGGTCACCTGCTCCAGTCACCTGCTCGGACCTAGGTCACCGCTGGCTACCTGCTGTGACCTGCCTGTAATCATCCTTCCCACCAAACCACTCACCCTGCCACTCCGGCCCATACCCCTGCTCTCTTGAAAACAGCCAATTGGGATTAGTCTAGCCTGTGTGGTCTAACTCTCATTAATAGGGAAAGGACACAGCAGTAGGGGTGAACCCTCTCAGAAATAAGTACCCCTTTTCCTCCCTTGTCTAAGTGTGGGCTCACCATTGCTCCATCTGTGAGCCGCCCTCTTCTATAGAAGTAAACTGCCTTGCTGAGAGAATTTATCTTTGAGTGCTATTTCTTCTGAGGCATCAAAATTTTACCTTTAATAATTCTGGTGGCCTGTATGGGGACAAACCATTCTCCACCGGGTGGTCTCAGGCATGAGGAGACACATCCCACCACTTCATTGCAGTGGCCTCAGGGGTAAGGAATTGAAACCTACCGAATGTCACAAACAAGCCCAGCCTCTCAGCAATGTGAGATAAAAAAAAAAAAAAAAAAAAAAAAAAAAAAAAAGCCTACAAATACCACAGCAACTAAGCAACTCCATGCACAGACCAAGAAAAAGACACCCCAGTAAAGTATTTCCTTGGTGGTTGAGACCAAGGTAAGAAAATCCCTGGGGGGTGGGGGGAGTAAATTATTCTTTGGTCAGAATGTACCAAGGCAAGAAAAGCTGTGGGGGGTGGGGGGGTGTTGTCTGCTCCTCAGAACTTTTAGTCTCTGGGGTAAAAGGGGAAGGCTTTTAAAAAAATTTTTAGAAAGCACAGAAGCCAAATACCAGGATCACTCAGCACATATTCAGTTCTTGTTAATCCCTGAAGCAGGGACTAATTTTGTTGGGGATGAATTTAATGCTAAAGTTAGGCATAGGTCTACAAATTAGCCCAAGAGGATTCCTCACCTCATTAAATCTACTCACCACTGCAAATGAAAAATATATTAATCCTAATGTCTAGTCTAAAGAAGGGAACCAAGGGAAACTATGAGTCTTTCCAATCCACATCAAGCTAAAGACCCCAGGAGAAGTAGTAAGAAGGAAGCAATACCCCATTCCCCTAGAGGGCAGGATAGGGTTGAAACCTATGATTGAAGGCTTTATTAAAGACGGGCTTCTTGAGCCTTGTATGTCCCCTTATAACACCCCAATACTGCTGGTCAAGAAATCAGACAGGTCATACTGGCTGGATTAGGACCTTAGAGCTATCAACCAAATTGTCCAGACTACCCACCCCATTGTCCCCAATCCTTACACCATTCTCAGCAAGATTCCATATAATCATCAATGGTTTACTGTAATAGATTTGAAGAATGCTTTTTGGCCACGTCCCCTAGCTGAAGATAGCTGAGATATATTTGCTTTTGAGTGGGAGGATCCCCATTCAGGGTGGAAACAACAATATCAATGGACAGTCTTGCCCCAAGGGGTCACAGATTCCCCTAATTTTTTTGGCCAAATCATAGAACAAGTATTAGAAAAGGTTGTCATCCCAGAGTAAATATGCATTCTCCAGTACGTGGATGATCTTATATCTGGTGAAGACATAGAGAAGGTAACTAACTTCTCTACACATACTCTTAACCATCTGCAGTTTGAGGGGCCATGAGTCTCAAAAAGAAAGCTTCAGTATGTGGAGCCCAAAGTTAAATATTTAGGCCACTTAGTAAGTGCAGGGAGCGAAGAATAGGGCCTGAACAAGTTGAGGGAATCGTGTCCCTACACTTGCCTCAAACTAAACAAGAACTCAGGAAACTTTTAGGATTAGTTGGATGCTGCCACTTATGGATTGACTCATATGCACTACACAGTAAATTGTTTTTGTTTTGTTTTGTTTTTGTTGTTGTTGTTATTGTTGTTGTTTTTTTTGAGACGGAGTTTCACTCTTGTTACCCAGGCTGGAGTGCAATGGCGCAATCTCTGCTCACCGCAACCTCCGCGTCCTGGGTTCAGACAATTCTCCTGCCTCAGCCTCCTCAGTAGCTGGGATTACAGGCATGCGCCACCATGCCCAGCTAATTTTTTGTATTTTTAGTAGAGACGGGGTTTCACCATGTTGACCAGGATGGTCTCGATCTCTTGACCTCGTGATCCACCCGCCTCGGCCTCCCAAAGTACTGGGATTACAGGCGTGAGCCACCGCGCCCGGCCCACAGTAAATTGTTATATCAAAAACTTGCCCAGGAGAAGCCTGACCATCTCCTATGGACTTCTGAGGAAGATGATCAAGTCCAAAGGCTGGAAGACTCATAACTGCCCCTGTTTTAGCCTTACCCTCCCTAGAAAAGCCGTCGCATCTTTTTGTCAACGTGGACAGTAGAGTAGCTTTAGGAGTGCTTACTCAAGAACATGGAGGCTGCTGGGAGCCCGTGGCCTTCATGTCAAAGGTCTTAGATCCAGTCACTTGTGGATGGTCTCAATGCATCCAATCCATTGCAACTATGGCAATATTAGTCAAAGAAAGTGGAAAGTTAACCTCTGGAGGAAAATTGACAGTAAACACCTCCCACCAAGTCAGAACTATCTTAAACCAGAAAATAGGAAGATGGCTTACTGACTCAAGAATCTTAAAGTATGAGGCCATTCTGTTAGATGATTTAACATTAACCACTGATAATTCACTCAACCCAGCAGTTTTCCTAAAGGAGAGAGAGCACACATGTTTGGTTTTAATTGATTACCATACAAAGTTTGACCAGACCTTGGAGAAATTCCCTTGAGGACTGGACAGCACCTATTCATAGACGGTTCCTCCCAGGTGATTGAGGGAAAAAGACACAATGGGTATTCAGTAATTGACAGAGAAACTCTTATAGAAATAGAGTCAGGAAGACTGCCTAACAGTTGGTCTGCTCAAACGTGTAAGCTGTTTGCACTTAGCCAATCCTTAAACTATTTACAGAGCCAGAAAGGAAGCATTTATATGGATTCCAAGTGTGCCTTTGGAGTGACCCATACATTTGGAAAAATTTGGACTGAACAAGGTCTCATTAATAGTAAAGGTCAAGACCTTTTTCAAAAGAAGCTAATCACCCAAGCATTGAATAATCTTCAGTTGCTGGAAGAAATAGCTATTGTCCATGCTCCTGGACACCAGAAAAGGCTTTCTTTTGAAAGTCTAGGAAATAACCTGGCAGATCAGACAGCTAAGCTGGCTGCTGTTTCTTCGGAAATGCATATTTTTCACTTAACTCCCTACCTCCCTCCTCCTACCATAATCCCCATTTTCTCTTCCACTGAAAAAGAAAATTTAATAAGAATAGGCACTAAAGAGAATTCAGAAGGAAAATGGAT